TTAATTTTTGTAAACATGGTTCACGGCATTTATCAAGAAGATATTGGCTGTCCATTCTGAACTCTATAATACATATTGTTTTTACTTTTAACTAAAATAACTAATTTACAGAATACTACTATTAAAGACCAAAAATACGATGGTTTGTTATGATTAAACATTATTGCTTAATAAGATATTAGGAACCAAGGTTGCTTTAAAAATATTCTTATACACAGTACTGAAATAAATTCATTGTGATATACTTATATAAAAATATAAAATTAAAACAGTAATGATAACAATAAAAACTATTTAAAAACAAAATCATGAAATGTGTTCCATTCACCAATTAAAAAAAAATACCATTAAAATAGTATGAAGATGATGGAATATATTACCTTTATCTTTATCACAACATAAAACCCAAACACTGTTATGCCCACAAGCGAGTTTACTATTTTTTTGCAATACTATTTCCTCACAATCTTTAGTGCTACATTCTTCTGCACATAAATTCTTACACATGTGCCCACAATCTAAAATTCTGTTACATATTTCAGTGCAAAGCTTACGTTCAGGCAAAGTTTTACACTTCAATGTGATTGAATGTCCGCATTCCGGTATAACTTTTTTTACCTGAAAAATATAAATATAAATAAAAAAAAGGACACAATAAAATATTTAACTTACTTGATTTTCACAAGGTCTACATTTTTCAAAGCATTTAGATTGACACATATGGAGGCACGTTAATTGACGGTCACATGGAAGAATACATTTAATCTCATCAATATTTAATCCACAAGGCACATTATTCTTTGAATGCCCACAGGGCAGAACTTTCTTAACTTTAACAGTACACAATGAGCAGTCTTCATAACACATTTTTTGACATTTGTGACTTAGAGAGCACATTTTGTTTATATTTTCACAAGGTTTTATGCATTTATACTATGGATATATTTTTAAAAGTACAATATTAAAATATAAAACAATTTTATTTTTTAAACTAAAATTACGTTCTCATGTTCTGGATCATCATTCTTGTGACAATTTCTATCGCAAGCATGTCCACAATCTAAACGATCTATGCATTTATATGAACAGATGGGATTTTTGTCATGACATTTTTTTAAAACTGTATGACMACATATATCTAGGACAGCTTCTACCTAAATTTAAATTTTTATAAGAAAAATTATGTAATTAAAATAATACACTATGAGTCTATGAAAAATTTTTAAATAACCCAACCATTTCTTCACACAGATAAGTAATAATATCAACAAAACATTGTAACGTCAATTCGTGGCCACAAGGTAACTCTCTGTTCATTAGCACAAGACAATCACCACAATCCATATAACATGTTTTCTTACAAGGATGATTATAATCACAGAACCTATTACACATATTAATACCTTAATAAAATGATCTTAAAGAAAATAATAAATAAAAATATTATACTTGTCACATGGCTCCATGCATTTCAATTCTAAATGCTCACGGTCATAAGAATGACATATACTTGAACAATAATGACCACATAATAGTAATGATTTACATAACATTGAACAACCMCSTYCCATAATAATATTGAAATCTTCACTTTTTGCAACCTTTGTTGTAATACCAGAATGAATGGCACATTCCAAAGTCAATTCATCTCCTTAACATGTAGATACATTTTTATTTAATCCATAAAAATAAAAATAATTACAACATTTTATAATTACCATATGAACCCTGATYTATTAATGTTTCTTWTATTTGTTTCCACAAATTACCAGAATTGTACAAATTGTCCATATTACCCATTATGTAAAGTCCATATTTAGCTCTTGACAATGCAACACATATTCTGTTCTCAGTTTTCAAAAATCCTACATTCCCCTTTTCATTACTTCTAAC